CGTGGCCTAATTTCTCTATAGCGCCCCCTAGAAAACTTTAAATGATCAGCCCCAAGCCATGCTTTAACCTACAATTACGAAACGTTGTACACATGTGTACCATGTCAGGACTTACAAAAAAGTCTCTTGGAGCCATGGTCTAAACCCCACAGGAAGTCGGCCATTTTAGATTGAAGTTCAAATTTTGACCCCATTTTTGCCATTTACAGCCTTCGTATTTGATCGAACTCCTCCTAGGGATTTCGATTGATCGGCTTGAAACTCGGTCAGTCTGTTCATAAGGCATGTCCCATCTAAAGTTATCAAAACGGTGAGTTTTTGAGAATGCTGAAGGGGGGTTAGCAGGGGTCAAAGTTCACCTACACGCCATAAAAACATAAACTGCTATATTTCCTACACAGAAACTCACAGAGGCACCAAATTTTCTGTGATTGATCATCATCGGGTGTCCTACAATACCCTATGGTCGAATGATGACATCACTTAGGCCACGCCCCCTGAGAAAAGGAAGTGTCATGTTTTACTCTGAATGGTCGCTATCTGACCCCTTTGACCTCATCAACATGAAACTGTGCCCAGACACAGAAGACATGTTGGTGTGTTGAGGATTCCAACCCCGACCAGCTTCGATGGAGCAGCTGGGCGTGGCGGCGTGGCGAAGTGACCTGTAACGCCATCGCCATACGTTTGGCTCTCAATTCCACATTTTTGGGTGCAGCTGCTCCAAACTCACAAGGATGGATCTTCATCCACTCCCCGACAGGAATCCATCACAATATTTGTAGGGTGTGGCCTAATTTCTCTACAGCGCCCCCTAGAAAATTTTAAATGATCAGCCCCAAGCCATGCTTTAACCTACAATTACGAAACTTTGTACACGTGTGTACCATGTCAGGACTTACAAAAAAGTCTCTTGGAGCCATGATCTAAACTCCAGAGGAAGTCGGCCATTTTTGATTGAAGTTCAGATTTTCATCCCATTTTTGCCGTTTATAAACCATTTCAGTAATTCGCCACTTGGGGTCAGTATTGCTCCACAAATGAAACAGCAGATAAACAGGATGAAGAACAATATCAGTATTTCGCCAGTAGGTGTCAGTGTTCCTCCACCAATGACAAACAGATCCACGGGCGGATGGGCGTGAAAACTTTGTGAGAGCGTTGCCATTAAATTTCTAAAAGGATAGAAATGTCTCAGATAATTTTTTGAATTAAATCATGCAGTAAATGTAGCATTTTCTTACTTCTTCCAACCATTTCAGTAATTCGCCACTCTGAGTAAGTATTACTCCAACAATGAAATAGAGTGCTTTAGAAACACAGCTGAAAATGATGAAAAATGACGAACTGTAGTACTTCGCCATGTGCATACAATCGGCTGTAAATGACACGTGGATCATCCGACTGACGCCAAATTGGATACGTATGACCTTTGTTGACCTCTAAAAAGAACAACAGCATTGAAATATATTTTGACTCCACTGCGCGTCCTACATTAATCCGCCAGCTATATTTCCTCGCTAAACCAATGAATCTGCACCACATTTTTTGCATCGTCAAGGAGCGACTCCGAACGCATCAGTGCGTACCGCCTGGTGGACAGGCGCGGAAACTGCGCAACAACTTCTGTCTTAGCACGTGGCCAGCGTTGATGGAAACTGAGCAACAGCTTCCGCAGTGCGGCCGGAGGTGCTGAAAACTGCGTGAGAGCTTCTGTGGTGGCTGGCGTGAGGCGACGGTTGCTCGTACCCCGCGGTGGACAATAGGCCGGAGCGGCGCTTTGCTGCGAGGGCCGTTCGAGGCTGCTTGCAGCTTTAATTATTATTACGATTCTCCCTCCAAATGAATTGGCTTTTTGGGGGCTTTATCATATTCAAAAACTCACCAAACTTGGCGGAGGCCTTAAGCCTGTTTCAAATTTACGTATTTTAAAGTCGTCGCAAAAATTCCACAAGAAATGGCTCAATAGCGCCACCTAGAAATTTTCAAAGGACCCTTTGCTATTCACTTACTTCATCGTAGAGACATGAAATTTGGTACACTTGTAGAGCTCCCAAGATGCTCAAAATTTACAATTAATGTCATAGTGCAAGTATCACAGGAAGTCGGCCATTTTGAATTGAAGGTCCAATTTTGAGCCCATTTTTGCCGTTTACAGCCTCCGTATTTGATCGAACTCCTCCTAGGGATTTCCATTGACCGGCTTCAAACTCGGTCAGTCTGTTCATAAGGCATGTCCCATCTAAAGTTATCAAAACGGTGAGTTTTTGAATATGCTGAAGGGGGGTTAGCAGGGGTCAAAGTTCACCTACTCGCCGTAAAAAAATAAACTGCTATATCTCCTACACAGAAACTCACAGAGGCACCAAAGTTACTGTGATTGATCATCATCGGCTGCCCTACAATACCCTATGGTCGAATGATGACATCACTTAGGCCACGCCCCCTGAGAACAGGAAGTGTCATGTTTTACTGTGAACTGTCGCTATCTGACCCCTTTGACCTCATCAACATGAAACTGTGCCCAGACACAGAAAACATGTTGGTGTATTGAGGATTCCAACCCCGACCAGCTTCGATGGAATAGGTGGGCGTGGCGGCGTGGCGAAGTGACCTGTAACGCCATCGCCATACGTTTGGCTCTCAATTCCACATTTTTGGGCCCTGCTGCTCCAATTTCACAAAGATGGATCCTCCTCCACTCCCCGACAGGAATCCATCACAATATTTGGTGGTTGTGGCCTAATTTCTCTATAGCGCCCCCTAGAACACTTTAAATGATCAGCCCCAAGCCATGCTTTAACCTACAATTACGAAACGTTGTACACATGTGTACCTTGTCAGGACTTACAAAAAAGTCTCTTGGAGCCATTGTCTAAACCCACAGGAAGTCAGCCATTTTGGATTGAAGTTTGGATTTTGACCCATTTTTGCCGTTTACAGCTTCGTATTTGATCAAACTCCTCCTAGGGATTTCGATTGATCGGCTTCAAACTCCGTCAGTCTGTTCATAAGGCATGTCCCATCTAAAGTTATCAAAACGGTGAGTTTTTGAGTATGCTGAAGGGGGGTCAGCAGGGGTCAAAGTTCACCTACTCCCCATAAAAAATAAACTGCTATATCTCCTACACAGAAACTCACAGAGGCACCAGAGTTTCTGTGATTGATCATCATCGAGTGTCCTACAATACCCTATGGTCGAATGATGACATCACTTAGGCCACGCCCCCTGAGAAAAGGAAGTGTCATGTTTTACTCTGAACGGTCGCTATCTGACCCCTTTGACCTCATCAACATGAAACTGTGCCCAGACACAGAAGACATGTTGGTGTGTTGAGGATTCCAACCCCGACCAGCTTCGATGGAGCAGCTGGGCGTGGCGGCGTGGCGAAGTGACCCGTAACGCCATAGCCATACGTTGGCTCTCAATTCCACATTTTTGGGCGCAGCTGCTCCAAACTCACAAGGATGGATCTTCATCCACTCCCCGACAGGAATCCATCACAATATTTGTAGGGTGTGGCCTAATTTCTCTATAGCGCCCCCTAGAAAATTTTAAATGATCAGCCCCAAGCCATGCTTTAACCTACAACTACGAAACTTTGTACACGTGTGTACCATGTCAGGACTTACAAAAAAGTCTCTTGGAGCGACGGTCTAAACCCCAGAGGAAGTCGGCCATTTTAGATTGAAGTTCAGATTTTGATCCCATTTTTGGCGTTTATAAACCATTTCAGTAATTCGCCACTTGGGGTCAGTATTGCTCCACAAATGAAACAGCAGATAAACAGGATGAAGAACAATATCAGTTTTTCGCCAGTAGGTGTCAGTGTTCCTCCACCAATGACAGATCCACGGGCGGATGGGCGTGAAAACTTTGTGAGAGCGTTGCCATGAAATTTCTAAAAGGATAGAAATGTCTCAGATAATTTTTGTTGAATTAAATCATGCAGTAAATGTAGCGTTTTCTTACTTCTTAAACCATTTCAGTAATTCGACACTCTGAGTAAGAATTACTCCAACAATGAAATAGAGTGCTTTAGAAACACAGCTGAAAATGATGAAAAATGACGAACTGTAGTACTTCGCCATGTGCATATGATCGGCTGTAAATGACACGTGGATCTTCCGACTGACGCCAAATTGGATACGTATGACCTTTGTTGACCTCTAAAGAGAACAACAGCATTGAAATATATTTTTGGCTCCACTGCGCGTCCTACATTAATCCGCCAGCTATATTTCCTCGCTAAACCAATGAATCTGCACCACATTTTTGCATCGTCAAGGAGCGCCTCCGAACGCATCAGTGCGTACCGCCTGGTGGACGGGCGCGGAAACTGCGCAACAACTTCTGTGTTAGCACGTGGCCAGCGTTGATGGAAACTGAGCAACAGCTTCCGCGATGCGGGCGGAGGAGCTGAAAACTGCGTGAGAGCTTCTGTGGTGGCTGACGTGAGGCGACGGTTGCTAGTACCCCGCGGTGGCAATAGGCCGGAGCGGCGCTTGGCTGCGAGGGCCGTTCGAGGCTGCTTGCAGCTTTAATTTTTTTTGTTTTGTTTTGTTTTAAAGTTCTAAATGTTTTAACCTGGCAACTCAATTCAATGCATTGTTCATAAAAGTGATCAGGCAATGTATTTTATTGGAATTCCATGTGAAAAACTAATGCAAAAGAAAAAAGGCTAAATAATTAAGTAAAAAGAACAATATTTTACCCCCACTTTTCATTGTGCTCACAACTGCATTTCTTTTGCAGGCTCGGGTCAAACGAGGGGCAGGGGGAACATGATACAAATTAGAACAGAAAATAGTTACTTAAAAACTGCAGTGATTACATTTAAACCTTGAAAAGATGTGAAAAATGTTTTCTAAATCTATCTGAACATTTTTTATTTTGCAGAGTACCCCCGGTTCTGCCGCGTTGTTCTGATAAAAATGATGTAACATAATCTAAATATTTCTACCCGGATAGTGAAAGCAAGAAGCAACCCGCTGTGTCTAAAGTTTCATAAAAATAATCAGTTTGTCTTGGAGGCAGGAACAGCTGGGGATTCCCAGAGGAAGGAGCGGAGGCGGCTCCGGCCCACCAGGTGGCGGTAGAACACTGGCTTTACCGTCGTCTGGAAAGGAAGAACAGGAGGAGGCTCGTTTCCAGTCAGCTGGACGTCCTGGGAAAAAAAAAATCTCTGGGATTTAGTTAGTTTCCTTCGCTCTGCGTTTTCCGAGTCTCGGTCCAGACAGCACGAGTTAGCCGTGCCACGGAGCCGAGCCGGGCGGCTTCGAACCGGTTCTGAACAGCGTTTGGTACCGGAGCTGGACCAACTGTTTCAGAATCCAGAACCTTCTTCCCGCTCAGAAACACCAGGCGCTTTACTCCCGTTTAGATGTGCAGTTTCTCAAACTTCCTGTTCAGGTGAGAATTCTGGACAGGTGAGTGAGGTTCAAGTGAGGTCCAAATAATACTGGAAGTGAAACCAGAACCCAAGAACTGTTTATCCTGCAAGCTCAGACAGAGAAAGTGAACATAAGTTAAAAAATAAAACTTGTCCAGTTGATGGTTTTATTTGTTTTGGGTCTATTAAATAGTAATATAATTATTTATCCCCAGAAACTGATAAGGATTTCGAGGGTTAATTTCCAAATATTGTGATGATTGTGGCTTAAAGCTAACAAAATATTATTTTTTTGTTTAAAAAAATGGATTTTACATCAGAACAATAAAAATTACTTAAAATATTTCACGGTCTGCATAATCATTGACAAGACTGATTACTTGGCATTTGTCCAGCAGACAGTCACTGAGATTTTCATATTGGGCATGCTGCAACAGAGGGAGAAAAATCTGTATACAAGCATAATCATGGAAAGTTAAGTGAAAGGAAAAACTGTATCCAGTATGTGAATTACAACTGACATATTCCTTATGGGGTTTTGCAAGACTTTAAAGACTTGAATTTGAAAAGTTTATTTAAAACTTCCAAAAAGTCTTCAGTAAACTTTCTGTACTGGTTTGTCAAAGTTACCAGACAGACTTTTTGTTTCAGTTATTCTGGATGTAGTTTGTCACCTTTCGCCGAACCCTGATCCTGTGGCAGAATCTGGATCCGGCTCCCCACCCTGAGTTAGTTCTGACTAGTTTCTGTGCATCATCTGCAGACATGGCGAAGCTCTGTCTCTGCTGCACGATCCTCCTGCTCCTCTTCACCTCCGTCTCGGCTCACAGTGACTTCTTCACTTCCATTGGTGAGTTCCTCCTTCCTCAAAACTGTCTTTCTCCTCATGTTAACTGTGTTTTTTCGTTTTGTTTTTCCCCCCAGGTCACATGACAGACCTTCTGTTGGTGGAGCGGGATCTGGTGTCTTCGCTGAAGGATTACATCAGAGCGGAGGAGGACAAACTGCAGCGAATCAAACGGTGAGGTTTCTGTCCGAGACGTACGACTCACAGTTCTTGTTTTTTAACCTCTGGCGTTGTTGGAATGTGACGTTAGGCATTCTGGGAAAACCACGACTCCATACGTCTCATTCGCTTGCGTGCGTGCGTGCGTGTGTGTGACTTCAGGTGGGCGGACAGGCTGGACGTGCTCGCGACTGCCGGTTCTCAGGATCCCGAGGGTTTCCTGGGTCACCCGGTGAACGCCTTCAAATTGATAAAGAGGCTCAACACGGAGTGGGTGGAGCTAGAGGGCCTGGTGCTGACTGACGTGTCGGATGGTGAACATGCACGCACACACACTTTTCTCTTCCTTTGAATTAAACACATTATTTTCTTGCAAACGTTTAGTAATCGATTATCCTTTGGATTACGTTGATGATTAATCAAATAAAGAGAAAAATTGGCAAATTTGTCCTTCAGTCAATTAGACCTTTCTTTTTGAATAGTAAAAATGCAAATAAATGATTCAGTTTCTGTTTTAAATAGGAAAATAAACATTTTATTTTCTACTATATATTGTAGTGCAGCAACGTATTCCATTTATAGCTCAGCCCGTTCTGCTTGACTTAACACCAATACAGCATACGGTTGAGCTGTTGATTATCTTTGGGGATTATCAAATTAATAACTGGATAGTAAAACATGTTTAATAGGAGATTATTTTACTGAAACTGAATTTGTGAAGCTAAAACTCTGCCACTTGGTGAGTTCTGGGTTGAAAATATTTACAGTTAGTTTTTTTTTTATGTTAAATGCAAAAATGTTTTCAGTTGCTACTTTTCTCTTTTCCTTCCAGCGTTTGTCTCCAACCTCACCATCCAGAGGCAACACTTCCCCAACGACGACGACCAGACCGGAGCGGCAAAAGCTCTGATGAGGCTCCAGGACACCTACGAGCTGGACACGGAGACCATCTCCAGCGGACGGCTGCCAGGTCAGCTAATTTCGGGTCACATCTCAAAACCGGTGACTCGTCGGCAGCTTTGTGTCGACGGTGGCTCCCCGGTTTCCTGTCTCTCAGGCTCGTCATCGGTGGCCGCGACGAGCAGCGTCCTGACCGTGGAAGACTGCTACGACCTGGGAAAGGTGGCGTACTCCGACGTGGATTATTACCACACGGAGCTGTGGATGGCCCAGGCCTTAAAGCAGCTGGAGCAGGGGGAGGAGTCCAGCAGTGTGGACGCCATCGCCATCCTGGACTACCTGAGCTACTCCGTCTACCAGCAGGGGGAGCTGGAGAGAGCGCTTGACTTCACCAAGAAACTTCTAGAACTGGGTTGGTAGCACCAGAACTGCTGTGACCTTTCAGGTTACTAACGCGGATAAATTCATCAGAGATGAAATCTGCACTTTTTCCTCAAGAATTCTGGTTCTGTCCCATTAGACCCGTCACACCAACGGGCCAATGGAAACCTCAAGTACTTTGAGTATCAGCTGTCCAAACAGAAGAAGCTGGAGGTCGTCGGCAACGAGGAGCAGAGGATGCGGAAGAAGAACTTAGGTCGCAGTGACGACTACCTGCCGGAGAGGAAGCAGTACGAGAAGCTGTGTCGGGGCGAAGGCATCCAGATGGTGAGCCGACCGAAGCTCAACCGAAGCTGTCCTTCGTTTCGATGGCGAGGATTCCTTTCACTTTCTCCCTTCCTCCCGTCAGACTCCCCGCAGACACAGCCGCCTCTTCTGTCGCTACTATGACAACGGCCGGCACCCCAGGTTCGTAATAGGACCGCTGAAGCAGGAAGACGAGTGGGACAGCCCTCACATCGTCCGTTACCACGACATTGTGTCGGACAGAGACATGGAGAAGGTGAAGGAGCTGGCCAAACCCAGGGTGAGAAGATGTTTACCGATTTACACCGCCCGCCTGTTTACTCCAACCTGAATCCAAACTCATTCCAGGTTTACAGAATGTAAAAAACAAAAATCAAGGATTATGAATACTGAAGCTCCTTGTTGGGTAAAAAAAACCCAAAACAAATACCAGACAGACAAGCAGGTTTTTACAGGCAGATTACTCAGAGAAGCAGGGAGTGGGTCTATTTCTCCCTGTAACTCTGGGCCGGTTGGCTTCACAGCTCCGTCGAGCCACCATCTCCAACCCCACCACCGGCGTCCTGGAAACGGCCCACTACCGCATCAGTAAGAGGTAACGGACGTCCTTCTCTCTTGTCTCGCCTCCCCTCCTGCTGTCCTGGCTGATGTCCTAGTAGGAGCTCAAAACTCAGAAGGTTCCTCTCACTATGACCCCCAGTCAGAGTATCCCAAACAAAAAAAAAAAGAAATCCACATTTGGGAGTGGATGTTTGTCGTTTCTAGCTGGTGCTGGCGTTTCGAGTGCTTCCCGCTAGGTTAGAGTGTAGCTCCTGCCAAGAACGAAGCCGAGCGGCGGGTAGTGATCTGCCTCTTCCTGTCTCTGTCCTTGTCTCTGTCGCCGTCTTTTTCCTCTGCCTTCATCTCTGTGATGATGCAACCCGATGGCCGGATCAGCTCAGACGGGCCACGGTGCATGACCCTCAGACAGGCACCTTGACCACAGCTCATTACAGAGTCTCTAAGAGGTAAGAAGAACCAGAGGCTGGGGAAGCGCTGGGTTCTAGAGAGACCAGGAGGAGGTGCTGATCCAAACGTCGTTCTTCTCTGTTAACACATACTTACCCCTCCGCACTGAGCAGCCAGAACATTATGACCACCTCACCCAACTCCTCGTGGACTTCTCTGAAGATTTTGTTTTTCAGTGTGGCTTGGCGAGTTTTATTTAGTTTTTTTTTTTTTTTTTTTTTTTCAACCAGATCCAATTTTTATTGGGTTTTTTTCCTCCCTGCTTTCTTTTCTGAAAAAAGAAATTATAAACAGAAAATATCGGCTTGAACTGGAGTCACCCCCTCTATTGAATGACGTAGTATCAGGGCTTGGCTACTAAATTAACAGAATACAGTCGTAATCTTAGAGTAAATATACAATTTTACCAGAAAAATTTTGAGTGGAAAAAATCTTCAAGTTATCAACCATGACCACCTCAGGCTGTGTGAGATTTTCTTCGAAAGAGACGATAATTTGATGCCGATGTGTTAAAAGGTAAAGTATTTCCTTATTTCTACAACCAGTGCTAAAGAAGATGCTCAACGTTCCTCATAAATTTTATTCTCGTAATCAAAATATATATAAAAAAAATCCTAACCTGGCTTTACTATTCCATCACAGAGTTCACCTGAGTTCAAAGTCCAAATAAATAGAATCTTTAAAAACACACTTGTCAAACAAGATGGACGCCCTAGGCTGGTTAACATCACTCTGTACTATCGGGGGAGAGAGAAAACCCCCCAGATATTCCAAAAATCAGTGTATAAAACAAAACATTTAATTAATAGATAGAATTGATTTGTTGGCTAGTCTGTACTGATTCTGTCAGTCAACACTTTCCTCACTTTTCTCTTTCCTCCTTATAACCATGATGTCCTCATTTAATTTGTCTGAACTTATCAGATTTGGATCTGATAAGTCTATCAAATCTGTGTATCAGAGCACCCCCTCACCCTCACTGACAGATGGTCATAATGTAACGCCCGACCGACGGTCTGTACATGAACAGACGTTTGAAATGTGTGACTCTTCGGCTCCAACCGCAGCTGCCGTCCCACATTTAATCCACGTCCGTCCCTTCCCCGCTAACGCCTCCGCTTGCCGTTATCTCCTCATCACCGTCCCGATGCTCTGCTGTGTGTCTCTGTGGCCTCCGTCCACACTCACCTCTCTCCGTCTCCGTGTCTTCTGTCTGTTAGCGCCTGGCTCGGAGCGTACGAGCATCCCGTCGTGGATAAAATCAACCGGAAGATCGAGGACATCACAGGCCTGGACGTCAGCACGGCCGAGGACCTGCAGGTAGCGGCTCGCCTGTTGGATCTACCAACACCTGAATCATCCGTTCAGGGTTGATTCAGGGCTGCTTTCAGAACTTCACTGGGACATAAACAGCCATGTTGTGTGTTTCTTGCAGGTGGCCAACTACGGCGTAGGAGGGCAGTATGAACCTCATTTCGACTTTGGACGGGTAAATAAGCGTGAACTCTGTCCTCTTAGGGTCTCTTTCACAGCGGCTGGAAGTTAAACATTGACAACTGGAGAATCAGAAATTATTTAATGATCAGTTTTTGTTTGTCTGCAGGATCTATTATAATTATTATTATTAAAACTTTCTCTTTCCAAAATCTTGCCAACTTTCCAGAGTTTCAAGTTGAATTGTGGAAAATAAATACAATGAGAGGTTTTTAAGTTTTCTTCTTATCATCATTTAAAACAATAATAATACAAATTTCAAAAATTAAAAACTGATGTAATCCTTGTTTATCTTTTTTTTTTTTTTAATGCACCACAATTTAATTTCATTTAGTTTTTGTTTTTTGTCTTTAAATTGGCATATTTACTTCAATATCAGCAACGGTATTATTGGATATAATTATAATACAATTGCAAAAACACACAATCATTTATTATTTTTGTAGTTTTTTTCTATTTGTATGAACCATTAATTAAATGTTTTCAACGTACTTTTACTTTTGTATTTTAGTAAGTAATACAATTGAATCGCTGTATTTCATTTTTTTCTTTCTATTTTATTTAGACAGTGCTTGAATGCATTCTTAGTGTTCCTTTTGCCCCCATTTTAATAACGATCGTTATTATTATTATTATTACAACACATTTAAAACATAACATTGGGTACACTGTGCGCCATTTACACTTTAATCCAAATGGATGTGTTTTGTTTTTCTGTTGGATCTCTGATGTCCGCATTAGTTGCGCAGCGCACTGCGCATGTTACAGTCCAATTAATTTCTGCGCCTTTATTTCCTCAAGATAAACTGCCGGCTTCTCTGTTTAGACTATAAATGGATGAGCTCAACATTGCATTCTCTTTAGTTTTCTCTGTTCTGTATATAATTGATTCAAACGCGCCATTTCTACCAAAGGTTTGGAATCCGCTTCCGGACCCAGACGCTCCAAAGTGTCCGGTCCATAACTCTTCAACGCGCTGTCAGCTCCCGGTCAGAAAGAGCATTTAGTTCAGTGTCCATGAGATGGTATTCAGAAAGGATTTACTTATTGATTGATTTTCGTTGCGTCTAGGATTAACTCTGCATAAAGACTATAATGTCTGCTGCACATGTGCACCAGTCAGGGGTGTGAATTAGAACCTGTCAAAATGACCGACGAGCTTCAGATTTTCCTATCGTTTAAATAAATAACCGGTCAAATATGGAAAATATTCCGTTAACGCGACCGCTGGTCTGAACAGAAGCTCCCAGGTTGTTGCTTGCAGGAGCTCGACGTTACCATTAAGAGACATAGACTTTTTCCCACCTGTTTGGCTGCAGGTCACTGACCAGTAGAGATCCGTCCGTGTGAACGTTCCCTGTCTGTGTTGCAGAAAGATGAGCCGGACGCGTTTGAGGAGTTGGGAACCGGGAACCGGATCGCCACCTGGCTGCTCTACGTCAGTCCTCTGCTCGGTTTTCCATGAAGCCCTCCTTTCTGTTTTAGTCCTCAGACTCTCAGCTGACCGTCTTCCTCCTTCCTGCTGCAGATGAGCGACGTGCAGGCAGGGGGCGCCACTGTCTTCACCGACATCGGTGCTGCTGTTCAACCAAAAAAGGTGAGTTGACACGCCACCTGCTGGTTAACCGTGCATTTCTTCTCCTTGACCTTCGGGTTGTGTGACCATGCCGCTGCAGGGCTCTGCTGTGTTTTGGTTCAACCTGTATCCCAGTGGAGAGGGCGACTACAGGACCCGACACGCCGCCTGCCCGGTGCTGCTGGGAAACAAGTGGGGTGAGTTCTGCCTCATCTCCGAGAACTTTTTTTTTTCCTACGTTTCAGTTGTCCATATAATTGCTCAAATTGGAATTCCGAAAATAATTTTTTTTTTTCCAAATAAATACAGTAGTGGTTTTTTACATGCCTTTTCGAAAAAAACGTTTCTCATTAAATAATGTTTGAAGTACAATTAGTTGGTTCTTTGGTAAAACTGCAATTGAAACACTATTTTCACATCATGAGCCATCTGTTTAACAACTGGATATTACCACTGGCGGAACAGACAAAGAAGATGACAGGAAGTGGGAGGGGGATAATGGCGCGGCATGCTTTTTTTAATGACTTGTAGCGCAAATTAATTTATTCACGTGTGATTTTAATTGGGTTTCTGCAAAATGGAAATGGAGCAATTGCAGAACTGTATTTTTTTCGACATTAGCAGAATGATGTCTGTCTGAATAAACTTCCACACGCTCAGACAAACTTTCTCCTGCAGTTTCCAACAAATGGATGCACGAACGGGGTCAGGAGTTCAGGAGGCGCTGCGGTCTTCGCTGGAACGACTGACGCTCATTTATCTCCTCCTCGTCCTGTCCTTCTGCTCCCTCCAGAGAAGCAGAACGCAACTCCTCAGATCTGATGCTTTTCACTTTATCCAGTGTGTGAGTGTGTGTTTATGTGTGTGAATAGATCAGGGAACTGCGGCCTTATTGCATGTTCAGGTTTCAGCTGGTCCTCAGGTGTGTCTGGGACAAAGAACGCAGAGCGCTGTCCTGTCTGTCGGGCTTAGCTGCGGGTTTGAAGGCAGCCAGAGCATGAGAAGCGAGCCGAAAGTGACGATGGAGGTTGTATTTATACAACTCCCATTCACAACTGATGTCATTTGAACCAGATCCAAAACATGTCAACAAATCAATCCAGTCCAATCCAAATGTGTTAAAATTAAGTTAGCCAATTCAAAAATTTTTGTCACAGCATGCTTTGTTAAATGAATCAAGTTGCTGAATGTTTTGGTTTTTATTTCACAGGGCACTGCTAACGCTAGTTAAAGTTGTATTAAGGGTTGTAATTAACCTAAGAATATTATCATGGAAATTAGTGTGGGAACTCATTCAACTTCCCTGATAGCAGGTGGTCAATGTTAGAGATGGGTGCTATTCTCACCTTGACCACCAGATGTCAGTAATTAAGACACACTGAACCTTTAATGCCAGAATTAAAGGTCCAACTATCTGTCAGCTCCATTGGGATAAATAAGAAGACATTTGGAATTTCCAAGGGCACCTTCTATCTAACGGACAGCAGGGGGCGACTGCTGTATTTATGACTCCAGAGGCAGAACATTGAGGGTTCCTGCTCGGCGTTCTTTGTTCTCTACATAGGACACTGAACACATCACTAACTCCAGACAGAAACACTCATTTTCCTCCTGTTACTTCTTTAACTCCTCAACTTCTGTGACTGTTGCCTTGACAACCACTCCAGAGTAAGTGCAGAACCTCGCAGCTCATTGATGTGCTTACATGAGACATTTTAGTTACTGATTTTGATGAAAAAAAACCACATAATGCAACGGGCAGAGTTAGAGCAGTGAATGGGTTAAGCTTCTCCCACTGCTCACCAACAGTTTGCACACTCCTCATTGAATAAATAGTAAACTTTAAAACAACCAATAGGAATTTTATTAGGGGATTTATAGATCCCTATTTATAATGTTGGTGTGTTAATTGACTGTTTCTGACTGTATGTCATCTTGATCGAAAGAAGTTTTGAATCATGTCAGTGTGCCAGTCAGTGAAAAACATTTTCACTACATTTACCCATCCACTGTTTTGACCAGTTCAGCCTGCAGGCCAGTGACTGCAGGAACAGATAAAAAAAAAAAACTCACTACTTGAGTTCTGATTACAGTAAAGATAAGATGCTGATACTACTTTTTTAAAAATGAATTTAATACATTTTAAAGGCTTTAATAATCCTTTGCAAAATATAGCACTTTTGGCAAACTTGCCATACAGGTTATTTTATGGAAACTTCAATGCCAGAATACATTAAGATAACTCTGTGAGGCTACTGCAGATCAAGTGTGTGTAAGCGCTTGTTACAATTTTATTTTATTTTTTTATCATCTAAGTGATTTCACAAGAAAAATCTGTGATCCTTTTTGTGTTTTTATGAGAGAACTGTGATGTAAAGATGATGTCGATAACGTAACGATAATGTTCAACATAAAGTGATGAGAATAAAATCTACATTTCTGCTGAAACACAGACAAGAGGCTTCATCTCATTTGTTGCAGGTAAAGCCATGTAAGCATACAGATAGGAATGATGTCTACTTTGATTTAATCTACTCTATAGTAGGTCTGGTTGTCTGTTGAATGTTCTCCTTGCCTGGCCTGTCGGTTTTTAAAGCATGTTTTGAGCTTTTTTGTAAGCTCAAAAACTCTTGTAATTACTTCTGGTTTGTTTCCGTTTGTGGTAACCTTTGCATCCTTTTGTTGTATTGGTCTCATACAACAAAGGTATGTATGAGAGCAATACATCCCTTTGTATTGTATTTTTTTGGTTTTGGGTTGTGCTTTTATGTTGAATACTTTGTACTTGCTTCAAACACTTTTTGGAATTGAAAAATTTGTTCCAGGACAACAGGATTTTTTCCCCCCTCCTTTTACAGATAAAATGATAAATCAACAATACATAATTAAAAGTTTATACATGTGCCATTATTTGTGCATTTTTAAGTTCAGTGAACTGATTTAGCTCTTAAAATAGGAAGATGACCACCTGGAGACCTCATAGCAGCAGTTAAATTCACGAGAAATTAACTTCTCAGATTCCTGGAAAACAGACAAGAATTGTTTTTGTTACGGCTCTGGCAGCAAATAATCCGGCAGGTGGTTTCCTTCCCGGCGACGTCCGCAACATCCGAGCAGCAGGTCGACCGCCGTGTTGACAGTAGAGTGGACGTCTTCCTGCACCCGTCCCCTCAGAGGGTTCACCTCCACCATGTCCACAGCCGAGAGCAGACCTGAGGACAGACCGGTTCTGTGACATCATGCAACGGCGACTGATATGAGGAGTTACAAACATCGCTTGTACCTGTCTGGCAGAGGTACTCTGTGATGTAAATCCCCTCTCTGTATGTGAGTCCTCCTACCACAGGTGTTCCTGTTGCTGAGGTAACAGCGGGGTCGATGGCATCAATGTCGTAGCTCAGGTGGATCGGTTTCTTTGCGCTTCAAACATAAAATCCAGAGAAAAAAACAACAGTTTTTGAAATCATGAATGGGGTCACCTGACCCTGTTGTTCTGCTTACATTCAGTTTTCAGAACAGAAACATCCTGTTACTATCCGACTGTACCACATGCTGCTGTAGTTTTGGTTCCTACTCCTACCTAAACAGAAATCTGCAGACAATTTCTGTAGGTGACACTAATCTGAGCCTGAAAGTCCACCGGGTGAGACTCACCTGTCCGACAGGTAATCGCACACCTCCTCCATAACTCTGGCTATGCCCAGCTGATCCACCTGTGTCATGGAGAACGCCTTCACCGACAACAACTTTATGATGTAGCTGTAGAGGGAAAGACTTAAGGATTTAGAGACGTGTTTTAGGTTAAATTCCTGACCTCCTGGCAGCCGGACTCACTGCTCCGCTGGATCCACATCTCTCAGGCCAATGTAGACGAGGTCCCGGGACGACACACAGGGCTTCATCCAGGAAAAGTTTGGTAACGGGGGGAGCTGAGGTGAAGAAGAAAAACATCTGAGGCATTCTGTGTTGCGGGTGTGATTTCAGATGGACGGAAAGAGGTACTCTCACCTTCGACTGCAACTCGTATAAGAGGTACGACATGGGCTGCCCATGAATGTGTCCTGTCTTTGAGGTCAGCGGCGTGTTGATGTCGGCATGGGCATCCACCCAAATGACGCTTACTGGGCCGACGGCTGCGGTGTGACCATGGATAGAGCCAATGGCGAGACTGAGGACGGAAAACAGTTTTAACAACCCAACGGGATCAAATTAATCCTTCAAAACCATTTAGATTTTCTTTCAAGAGAAACAACATAATAAAAGTACTATTAATAGTACTTTTAAAGCAGGTATCAAGATACATGCTCTGATTGCATGAGTGAGTTTTGTTTCCACAGTAAGTTTCACCATCAAACTGTTCTATACAGATATATCTAAGGTATTGTAGATGAAGTCTTGATACATGAAGATGAAAATACACATTAACTCTGAAGGTGTGTTGTATCTACCATTGATTAGTTTGCATAATGATTTGGAACTAGTCATTAATAAACACTAGATCATATAATAATTTTAAATAAAGTGTTAACACTACCATTCTCCAAATAAGTTTTGCAATATACAAATCTAATTCTGTTGCATGAGATGGCTCACTGGATAGCAAAGGCTGTCCTTTCGGTTTGATTATTGATACATTTAAGACTGATAAGACAATATTTTATGGGACTGATTGAGATTTGATACATAAATTTAATCAAAAGCCTTATTAAATGGCATACCTCATAATTAACTCCTTTGTTGCTTGTTCTTAGTCTGGAGAGAAATATTGTTTTCAATAAAGTGTTTCAAATTAGCCCAATTTTTGATCTAATATTTCTGGATGTCTCATGATTTGTTTGCATTAAACGAACAACAAAACTGAAAACAGCTCCAACCCATAGACAGGAACTTTTTAAACTGTAAATGTTTGAGTTATCAGTTTATTTTTAGCAACATTCATCCATACTTTCACTTCTATATGCTTCTGCAAACTGATTTGAGTTCTAAACTTGTACCAAACAAAGGTGCTACGTTCAGTGGCGGTCCCAAGAGGGGAGCAAAGTGAAGAATACTTAACTGATTAACAAAGGGAAATTAAATGTTCCCTTTGGCCTGGATAATATGAACATTTTCTGCACCACTGCTTGTGTTCTGATGTGGTTCTGCTGTTGATTGTTTTTATGAGCTGACCTGTGGTCTCCTCCAAGGATCAAGGCGGTGTGCCCATCCCTCTTCACTGCCTTCACCGCCTCCGACAGCGTCTGGTTGGCGTTTCCCACCGCCCGGACACTTTTTGACCCATTGACCGGCTCGTCATCTGCAACGTTCTCAAACGTCAGGTTCCCGTAATCCTTCACGGCACAGCCTAAGCACACAGAGTCAACGTCGGGTTCTCTTGTCACCTGAAGGAATCAAGTGTTCTGCATATTCATGTCACTTTTGCTTCTCAGAACAGTTTCCTTTTGTGCAAACATTAGCACAGATCTGTTTCCTGTAAACAGAGGATAAACAGTATCAAATGAGTCACCATTAAACGGTCACACTGAGGAAGGACACATTGTATGAGGACATGTCTATCTGAAGACATGTCTGTTCAGGCCTCGGTGTCCTGGCTGGAGGTCTTTTGGTTTCAGTTTAAATGTCCCCTCACAAAGGACCTCTGCCGCCCCCTCAGAACAGGATGAGTATCGGCAGAAGAAACATTTTAAATCAAAGGCTATGCGTGGTTCTGTACCAGAACCTAGGAAAACATTAACGTTGGAATGAATGTAAACAATTAAACAGTGATGCATTCACTGACTGATGTGAAACTGTACGTTCATCTGTTTCTCAGTGTTTTACTGGAGAATGGAGGTCAGAGTTTGAAATGTTCCAGCAGACTAACCACAAGCTTGATTTTTTTTTTTTTTTACCAGTTAATAACTTTCTAACATCCTTGTGACCCCAAACTGTAGCTCTGACTTCAAATTTTGTACTCAAATGTTTTACATTCTTACCCTAATAGAACCTCATAAATCTGACTTGTAATTGCGTCATAATATTTATGTTGTTGCATATGATCAGAGCCTGTCACAAAACTTAAAATTATTAAATAGTTTAGTTGTAAAATGATCTTGCTACAAAGCACACACTCATTTAATGTATTCATATATGAGAATATAATGATATTTATTGATGAACTTTGAACATACTTGTATAGAAGAAGATCAGAACCCTACGCCCCACCAATTTTTAGAAACATATTTTTTTCTTTTCTAATCCTTTTCCATAAACATGGGAAAGTGAAATGACAATAACAGTAAAAATCTCTGCCATCTGCAAGAATTATGAATTCATTTTTTCTTTATAATACACTGCAATGTATCATAATGAAAAACGTATTTATAATATAAAAGCAACACAAGAATTCCCAAACCCTTCTTTAAACTGACTAATCCTAATCAGAGTTAAACATATCGTATTTGATTTCTTGCAAAAATTTATTTTTTTAACAGGCAACTTATCAGCTTTGAGAAAGATCAGTTTTTTTGTTGGTTTTTTTCTCTTCTTGGAAAATGTTTTTGTGTATAAAAAAAAGAGTGACACAAAAGTCTGGAGACAAGTCATCTGAAAAAATAAAAAAAAAATTAGATTGCGCTGGTGCCTTCTATTTGTCCATAATGGAAATATAAACAGGACATCCCATGTCGCCATCAGCACTAAGGACATTGAACTCACTTTCCTGGAGTTTCAGATTGATTTCACCTTCAACCTAAACTTTTAAAGCAGAACTGAACCTCACAGACAAGTTTCACCAGAAGGCTGTCATATTTACATGTTCACATTAATAACAGTATGATAAGTTTTAGAAACACACAACACAAGGACCTAACAGGAGGAGAGAGGAAATAAATAAAAGTACAATTAAATAAAAGTGAAGTAAAAATTAGAAAAAGTGCAGTAAGTAAAAAAAAATTAAATCAAGTTAATTTATAACAAAGAAATTGAAATTTTCTAAATCCTTGTTTTATTGTATTTTTTATTCTTATTATTATTTCCAACCAAGAAACATTGATTCAGTTACTTGGAAGAATTCATAAACTTATTAAGTTTGAGTAAATATTTTACCTTCTGGAAGTTAAACATAAATTGTAGTGTTACTGTACTGTCAAAATTTAATCTCCTGTTGTCATGCTGAGTTATGTGTTTTTGTTGTTTTTTTTAATCTCATATTAATCGAATGTTTTATGAATCCTTAGGCAATTAGCGAGAAATAAATATAATAATTGAGCTTTTTGTTAGCACTTATTTTTTCTAATATTTAAAGTACTCACCCTGTTGCTGCAGCCGGTCCAGGAGTCCTGCTTCTCGTAACTGGTTCGGTGCACAGTCCACTCCATCCTTGGACTGCAACACACACGCACGGGCTCTTTACACGCATTGGTCAACAGACACACACACACACACACACACACACACACACACACACACACACACACACAGAGACACACACACACACGTCCAGTGCACACGCTCTCACCTGGCCCTTGGAGAAAGGTGCTCCGATTATTCCCACGGAGCGCTGCAGAGGAGGAGGAGGGGGAAGATGATGATGAAGGCTCCGCTTCACGGTGAGCGAGAGCTGCTGCAGGGTGCGCGCGCCCTTCATGCCGACTGACAGACTGATGGCTGCGGAACCCCGCGAGCGGCTCATAAACCCTGTATGACGTCAGAGGGGCAGGAGGAGACTACGGGGGCTCGACAAGCGCGTCACAATCCGATTCAATCAACTAAATGTCCTGAACGTCGCTGTGTTTAAATGAAATTGGACTTTTTAGGCGTCAGAGGGGGAAATACATTACTAGCTAACACTTTAATGGTACACCCAAAACTTTTCTGTAACTAAAATACGAAGGAAAGTGCATTACTACATTTATCCACCAAAGAAGAAGAAAAAAAACACACGCCCAAGTATCCTTCCAAACACTTACAGAGACGAAGGTTTCCCCAGGTACAAGGCGTATAAAGTACGTTCAGCGTTCATGAACCGTTAACTTCACCCTAACTGCCTCGAGACTCTTGTTGTTAAGGTTACCAGAGAATTATACGTCAATATAGTTTGCCGCTAAGAACGCACACTGTCGTATTTCTGGAACTACAACACGACAAAGACAATTTGTGGCACAAACGTCGCACTCTTGTTAAATTTCAAATCCAATTTTTTTATTATTATTTTTTTTTTCAAACAATTCTGAGCATGAACTTATTCATTTTGCTCACTACGAACTCGTTTTCCAAGGGTAGCTTATCTCCACTATAAACTATTACAGTTTTTGATCACAAAAAGATTTGAAATCCATCATCAGAAAACAGATCAGCAAAACTGAGTCAGTCAGAATTATGAGTTAAAATCATTAAATCGTTCAAGTGTAACCTGAATTCAGAGGATGATGAACCTCAGTTTTATTCATAGACCATGGAAACCTTGTGCCTACGTTGTATATTAGAAATAAAAAGTTGTGAAACCGCTTCAGGTTTCAGCCAGCATTGGTTTAAACTGGATTTGAGAAGTGATCAATGGTTCTGTGGGAAAAAAAATACTTTAACAAGAGCGTGGATGAGAAGAATATAAGAAATGTATTAAAACTTTGCAAGGTGAGACCAGAAATAGACCAAGTTTGCTCTGACTCACGGTGGGTCTGGCTTCCACTTATGGGTTCTGGTCAGAGAAGAGAGACTTGAATGGACTATAGGTGTGAATCCCTGATTGTGATGTACCAGGGATTCTGTGGAGCCAACACAGATGGTCTTGCCATTTGTCTTTTGTGAAGGATACGGGGTTGTTCTTTCATGCTAAAGAGGGCAGATAAGTCCTACTGTTGGGGAAGTGACATTTAGATAGCCTCCAGCTGAGAGCAGCTTGACCAATCTCATTGTAAAACTATGCAGAAATACCTAAAAATTTTCCATTCCATTCCCTTCTTTTGATTATGATAAACATTGTTTATATTAATCACTCAAAATAATGAAAATTGTGATAATACATGAAAATGTCAATATGCAATTGTATGTACTGCACAAAGAAGAGTCAGTATGTGGCAGTATCACAAAAGGCAGATACATCCTTCAAAGGAAACGATCAGGGTTTTGAAGAGTGAATCTGGAATATCAGTCCTGGAAGTGCAAATCTGCTCAAAAGCAGCACCACAACAGTGCGGGTCTCCACGTTCAGGTGTGGGGAGAAGTACAGCAACATTCGAAACTGTACAGCGCTTGAGTGATGTTAGTGATGTCCAAGAGAACAAATATGTATTAGAGCCAGTGCGCTGGCAAATGACTGAAGTTTTCTGCTCCAAAAAGGTGAATGAAGCTAAATAAATAACAAGGATGAGCAGGCTGCAACCGACTATGTCACAAGAGGCAAAATCAATTATTAATTTTTAATAGCTTGAGGGGTACAAGAACCCAATTCAAAAGCATACAGGCCCATCACCGTGAATAAGGATTCCTAGGGGGGCTTCAAAGATTGAGTCATTAAGATAAAATTTCTGCAACAAAAGGTCATCCCCAGAAAATACATAAGTTGCTTCATAAGTTGCAAGCTGGGTATGTTTCTCGTATTTCTAAACAGCAGAAAACATATTGTAAGGATTAATGACACAGAGCATCCCTCCCCAGTTATCTACAAATAAATAGGACATTTTCCTACACAAATTGCAAAAACACTTTCAGCCCAAAATCATGCCAATGTTTTTTTTTTTTTTTTTTTACACAGAAAACGTTTCTTTTTTAGGGGGCGGTGGGTTCGCGTTGAGGTGGGACTGCACAGAACAATATCAGTAATGACCATTCATAGCCCTTCAACTCAACAACAAACTCAACTGATCGTCATGTCCCTTGAGATCAATGGGACTTCAATTTAATCTAAAATAAAGATGTCAGACTGGAATCCTGTTCGTGACAACAAAATTGTTGTGGAAAAAAAAAAACTTTAACAAGAGCGTGGACGTGAAGAAAATAAGAAATTTATTAAAACCTTGCAATTATGCGAAAACAGAAATAGAGTCTAAAGAGTCTGTCAGTCTGCTCTGACCAACAGTTGGTCTGGCTTCTGCTTATGGGTTCTGGTCAGAGAAGAGAGACTTGAATGGACTACAGGTGTAAATCCCTGATTGTGGTGTATCTCTGACTCTGTGGAGCCAACACAGATGGTCTTGCCATTTGTCTATTGTTAAGGATACGGTGTTGTTCTTTCATGCTAAAGAGGGCAGATAAGCTCTACATTGGGAAAGTAAGTCTCCAGCATCAAGGAGCTCTCCCCTGCTATTATATGACACTGCATAAGTATTGAGAGCAGCTTGACTAATTTCATGATGGGACTATGCAGAAATACATAAAGCAGAAGAGTGGTGAGGAGCACATTATAACATATTCCATTGCACCAGAGAACAAAAAAAAATAAAAAAAAATAAAAAAAAAATAACAAGAACAAAGATTCCAACTCATTTTCCACCAAACTAGAAAACTATACAAAGCAGGTGTCACCACTGCTCATTGGACTCCACAGCAACACCTGCAAGTTAGTTGTTGAATTACGGTTTAAATGTTACGCACAGTTTCCTCGTCATTGTAAAAAACTGAAGCAGACAAACATGATTTCGATCAAAACGTTTATTTTCCTTGTATAAAAATGAATATTTTGCTTTAAGAGGATCAGACTGGAGCAGGAAAACTGTCGTTTTCTGTGTTACTCTTTGAAACGTGTTCCATGTGGTATTGCGTCGCATTAGAAGTAGCTCTGCAGTGGCTCTCCCAAGATGTTCTCCATCTCCTGGATGACCTTCTGGACCTGCTGCTCCACTTCCTCACATTCATCTGCAAAGCAAAACACATGCACACGCCATTAATCACAATATCAGCTGAAACGCACACAGGAGGCTTCCACTGAAACGACCCTGGTTTTTAGCGGAGACCAATTGAGAACCAAATCAATTATGCGAGTCCTCACCCTCCATGAGTTCGGCCAGGAACGGGATGGTCTCGGGGAGCAGAACCACGTAGTTCTCCTTCAGTCTGGATGCCAGCTCCATCAGCATGACGAGGGAAGAGAAGCGCACCTACAGAGGAGGAGGAGCGGATATTCAGATTCAGGTGCTAAGGGATGAAACGATTACTTGGATTAATGGTGATAAATCAATTCTTGATTTGAAGAATCTGGCAAATGTTTTATCTGATTAATTGGCCAATAGTCAGAAGCATCGCTTAATCCATTCCTAAAATATTTGTTACTCGCAGACGGAACTCAAAGTTGAACTCACCGTGGAGTCGCTGTGTCTCGTCTTGAGCAGGATCTGATAGTTGAGGGTTTTCCACTGAGAGTCGTCAGCCAGCGCCACGGCGAACTGACCCACGCAGGGAACCAGATGCTGGACGACCCGGTTCTGGTAGACCTGCGGCCCGCCCAGGGAGTTCTCCAGCTGCACACGGAAACACAGAACGGAAGAGTTTTGGATCGCGTTCGTTCGGGTTCCGAGCTTTCAAACGCGGCGTTGCATCTCACCTGGTCCACCAGTGGGCCCAGCAGGGCGTCGGCCCGCTCTCGGCTCAAGAACTTGTGCGTGTCGTACAGGGAGATCTTCTGGAGAACGTCGAGCACCAGCCGGAGCAGCAGGCAGTTCTTCTCCTCATAGCGATCCGAGTCAAAGATGAGCTCATCTGGAAGAGATGGGAGGTCAAAAATTAGCGTCATCTAAGAGCTGCAAAAAGATTTATAGAACAATTATTATTACAGTATCGTTAAAGCCTAAAATTTATAGCTCATAAAAACTGGCAAAATAAAAGTGAAATGTTCATTACAATTTCTAAACTAAGAAAAACAAGCAGCTAAAAATAATTGAAATACATCAGCTGCCAACAGATAATAGAAATTGGAATTAATATGACAACATAAAAAACTGATGATGATTAATTCAAATATTGTCTTATAAATAAAGTGATACATATTACATTAAACTTCTAACTATTTCGACTTCGAATTCAAGTCAATTTTGTAACGAAATATTCGATCCAGGAATACAATTTTAGTAGTTTTTTTCTTATTCATCAGAGTAAAGTTGCAATATCAGAAGAATAAAGTCCTAATTTTATGAAAAAAGAGAGCAACAAAAAAATGTACATATACATATGCATATACATATATATATTATTAAACACATTTTTTGTAATAACAAAAAAGTGACATCATGCCATACAATTGAAAAAAAACAACAACATAAATTTAAATGTAAAAAAAGGCATAGTGAATAAAATACACTAATAATATGTTATTATTATTTAATTGTGGACAGTAAAGATTATACTATCTAGACTACTGCAAGAGACAGTTTACCTCATGTAGAGAAATAAATAAGCTCAAATGTGAAAAGATTATTATATTTGAATACAAAGTAAGAAAGATAGTAGTCAGCTCTGTGGAAACATTGGTATGCAAGTCTTTTATAAGATTTTATTTTATTTTTACTTTATTTTATTCTTTCCTTGTTTTGAGTCTGTTGAATAAACAAACCATGAGTCTGTTGAATAAAGTAATCTAAGTCAGCAGCATCTAGATCAGGAACCTGTTTTAGCGCTGTCGGTCTGTCTCAGCACGTCTGCCATAGGCTTCACCAGGTTTCCCGCAAAAAGCACGAAGAGTCCCTTGAGGCGCTCGGCGATGCGGTCGCAGAGGCGGTAAAACGTCAGCAGACGGTCTTTGCTGTTCGATTTAGTCCAATCGAAGAGCTGCGGCAGACAAACAAACAGTCTCAGTCGTTTTCTGCTTCCGCAGAAAATGCCAGTCGAACGTCAGGATCGACGCGAACGTCACCTTGAAGAAGAGGGGCCTAAACGTGACTTCCGACAGCTTCATCACCATGGTGATCAGGCAGTCGATGACTCCGCCCTCAACCTGCCACGCCTTCTCCAGGTCGCCCTGATGCGAGGAGGAGAGCTGGTCAGTTCCAAACTGACTCGGGTCGGTTCTGTGGGAACCGATTCTGCTTCAACTGCGCGTGGCTCACCT